TTGCAAGCTTCTGGGAGGCCAAAGGGAGGTACGACATACGCGGATCACCACGAGACCTCGCACCCCCTTGGGGGGCTGCGATCTGCGAAACTACCGCCACATTCGCTGGCGTTTGGGAGGCCCAGCGGAGGTGCGTCATACGCGGATCACCACGAGACCCCGCCGACCCCCTGGGGGGGCTGTGATATGCGAAACTGTCGCCGCGATCGCTGGCATCTCGGAGGCCCATCGGAGGTACGTCCTACGCGGATCACCACGAGACCTCGCCGTCCCCCGGGGGGCTGCGATCTGCGAACATGTCGCCACTTTCGCTTGCTTTTGGGAGGCCCAGCAGAGGTGCGTCATATGCGGATCACCACGAGACCTCGCCCTCTTTTGGGGGGCTGCGATGTGCTAAACTGTCGCCACTTCCGTGGGCTCCTGGGAAGCCCAGCGGAGATCGTCATACGCGGATCACCACGAGACCTCGCCGTCCCCTGGAGGGCTGCGACCTGCGAAACTGTCGCCTCGTTCGCGGGCTTCTGGGAGGCCCAGCGGGAGTACGTCCTACGCGGATCACCACGAGACCTCACCGTCCCCTGGGGGGGGCTGTGATATGCGAAAATGTCGCCACGTTCGCATGCTTCTGGGGGAACCAGCTGAAGTATGTCATACGCGGATCACCACGAAACCTCGCCGTTCTCTGGGGGGCTGCGACTTCGAAACCGTCGCCACTTTCGCGGGCTTCTGGGAGGCCCAGCGGAGATACGTCATACGCGGATCACCGCGAGACCTCGCCGTCCCCTGGAGGGCTGCGATATGCGAAAATGTCGCCGCGTTTGCGGGCTTCCAGCGGATGTACGACATACGCGGATCACCACGAGACCTCGCGCTCCCCTGGGGGGCTGCGATCTGCGAAACTGTCGCCCATTCCGCTGTTTTCTGGGAGGCCCATCGGAGGTACGTCCTACGCGGATCACCACGAGACCTCGCCGTCCCCTGGGAGGGCTGCGATATGCGAAAATGTCGCCGCGTTCGCGGGCTTCTGGGAGGCCCAGCGGAGGTACGTCATACGCGGATCACCAGGAGACCTCGCACTCCCCTGGGGGGGGCTGCGATCTGCGAAACTGTCGCCACGTTCGCTGGTGTCTGGGAGGCTCAGCGGACGTACCTCCTAGGCGGATCACCACGAAACCTCGCCGTCCCCTTGGAGGGCTGCGATCTTCGAAACCGTCGCCACTTTCGCGGGCTTCTGGGAGGCCCAACGGAGGTACGTCATACGCGGATCACCGCGAGACTTCGCCGTTCCCTAGGGGGCACGCGATCTGCAAAACTGTCGCCACTTTCGTGGGCTTCTGGGAGGCCCAGCGGAGGTACGGCCTACGCGGATCACCACAGCCCCATCGTCCCCTGGGGGGCTGCGATCTGCGAAACTGTCGCCGCGTTCGCGGACTTCTGGGAGGCCCAGCGGAGGTACGCCATACGCGGATCACCACGAGACCTCGCACTCCCCTGGGGGGGCTGCGATCTGCAAAACTGCCGCCTTTCGCGGGCTTCTGGGAGGCCCAGCGGAGGCACGTCCACCCGGATCACGACGAGACCTCGCCGTCCCCTGGGGGGACTGCGATGGGTTCCTGGGAGGGCCAGCGGAATGGCGCGGCGCGTGCGAGCGCCGCGCAACGAAGAGCGCATGGCGCTGTCCGTTGCCCATGCCGCATCCCTTCTTCGGCTGCCTTCTGCTTGTGATGCGTGCGGGCACATGCCTCGTTTCGCGCAGGGCGCTGTGCCGTCGTGGCGCGCAGGGCGCCGTCCTGCGATGCGAGCACAGCGCAAAGCGCTGTTGCTCCCAAGAATCACGTCTCCAATCGCCCCTCCTCCATTCACGTTTCCACGCCCCCCGCGGTCGCACTCCTGCCAGCGACCTGCCTCTTAAGGGTGGCACCGCAGATGTGAAACATCCGACTCTGGCCCGACGTTCTTTGGCGAAGCGTTCAAGGGAATTGAGGATCATGCAATGATTGCCTTAGGCACGGCCCTGGGTTACTTTGATTCGCGGCGTTGAAAATCCCAGGAATGGTGTTACGGCACGGTTCAGGACTTCTAAACGATTGTCCGCACTCTTTCGGGCACGCTGGCCTGATGGAGCGCCCTCTCGAGGAGCATCGCCTGAGGTGGGCTGCCGCGCGCTTCGACGTCGAGTTCTGGCGCGCGGCCTCGGGCGACTCCGCACTTCCGACCAACTTGCAGATAGTGCGCAGTGCTTCGCAGCGACTCGGCGGTCGATTGCGACTCGGCTAAGAAGTCGGCTAGAAGGGCCCGTATTTTCCAGATGGCCGCTTCCCCATTTGCTTGGCGTGGCGCGTGAGTCTCGGTCGCCGGTCGGCACTGGCGGCAGCGCTGAGAGATCTGATCATAAGCCGCCCCTGGTCGGCGCTGGCGGCGCCTCTGGGAAGCTTGGCGCCAGTTCCAATGGATCTTGGCATTTCGCCACCTGCTCGCTGGTCAAAGGCGGACGGTCGTCGTCGGAGTCGCGCAGGTACGTCCCCGATTGGGGATCGACGACCCGCCTGGACACCGCAGACGATGCTCTCGCAACCGGCGGGCGCCACGTGGACGCGGATCGGTGCGCTGGCCCGCAAGGCGTAGAGCAAGAGTGACAGCGGCGCGTCCACCGGCGAGCCGGCGTGGCTGCCAAGCTCCGCCTTGCTCGTCGTGCGTCGCGCGGGCGGTCGTCTCTGAGACCGCCAGCAGGCCCTGCAAGAGGTCCCCAAGAGGTCGATGGAGGCCCCACAGAGGCCAAGATCAGACCCCGAAAGGTCCACAAGAGGCACCCAGGACGCCCCAAGACACCCCAAAACCGCATCCAAGAAGCGTCCGAGAGGCCTCCCAAGAGATCCCCACAAGCATCCAGAAGGCCTCCGACCCACAACCCAGGCACAATGGCGGGATGGGCCGAAAGCCACTGTACAGAGAGGGTGAGAGAGAGAGAGACAGACAGAGACCTGTCAGAAACATCTAAATACTGTGCCCGAAAGCCAAGGGGTGTGAGCGAGGGTCCTGGTCATGGGTGCGGCATGCAAAAATCAATATATGGAACGTGGCTGGTGAATACTTAACCTTGCCCTGGGCGGTGGATCTGACAGGGGCGGGGAGGATGTGGTATACAATACAACCTCGAGGGAGAGGAGGGGGAGCGGTGCACAAGGGAATAGCCGCGCACAGGTCGCACGGAATGGCCCGACGAGGGCAGGGGGGGGAAGAGGCAGGAGAACGGGAGGGTGGAGGAGGAGAAGGCAAGCGAAAAGGTCCAATCAACTCGCATAAGATTACCTATACGACCACCCTTCGGGTGATAAGGAGGTTCGGGGGGGAGGATGCAGCGTCTCACTCGATCACACTATCCATCTCACTATCGGTCTCGCTCGATCGATTTCACTCGATCGATCTCACAATCGATCTCACTCGATATATCTCATTCGCTCGGTCTCACAATTGATCTGATAATCGGTCTCACAATCGATCCCACATTCGGTCTCACTATCGATCTCACTACCGATATCACAATCGATATAACATTCAACGTCATCATCATCATCATCATCAGCAACAACACCACCATCTCCATCGTCATCGGGACACTGTCATCTTCACATCATCATCGCCATCATCATCAACGCCATCATCATCATGCCATCATCATCAACGCCATCAGCATCTCATCATAGTCATCAGCATCATCATCATCATCATCATCATCATCATCATCATCATCATCATCATCATCATCATCATCATCGGGACACAGCCATCGTCATCATCACCATCAACATCATCATCATCATCATCATCATCATCATCGGGACACCATCATGGTCACCATCATTTTCATCGTCAACATCATCAACAACATCGGGACACCATCATCATCAGCTCATTATCATCATCAACATCATCAACAGCATCATCTACATCATCGGGACACCATCATCATCAGCAGCATCATCATCACCAACATCATCATCATCAATATCATCATCGGCACAACATCACCATCACCATTATCGTCACCACCGTCATAATCATCATCATCGGGATACCATAATCATCATCAGCAGCAGCATCATTACCAACATCATCATCAACAACAACGGGCAGAAACATCATCATCGTCATCTCATCATCATCATCATCATCATCATCATCATCATCATCATCATCATCATCATCATCATTAACATCATCATCATCACCAGGACACCATCATCGTCATCATCACCATCAACATAACCATCATGATCATCATCAACAACATCATTTTCGGAACACCGACCTGACACCGGCGGGACACCGCGGGGCCCCGGCCGCCCGGAAGGGAGACATTTGGTCCGGCCGCGCCTCAGCCACACGGGACACCAGCGGGACACAAGCGGGACACCGCGGGGCCCCGGCCGCCCGGAAGGGAATCATTTGGTCCGGCCGCGCCTCAGCCACAGGAGACTTTCTCTCGCCCGCCCACGCAGCTTCGCCTCGCCCGCACGCACGGCACGCACGAACACGAAACCGAAATCGATTTCCCGGTGGGGGGGCTCTCCGTTCCACTTCGATCTCACCCCCTCACCTCCGATTATACGGGTTGACTGGACCTCTTCGCGTCCTTATCATAAGGACGCACGATAAGGATGCAAGGGCCCAGGAAGGCCACGTCGACACTCTGAGAGCTGGGCGCGGCCAGCGAAAGCGGCCAAGGATGGGCCGAAGGGGAAGGGTGCGAGGGTAACCTTGGAAAGTTGCTCATCCTTACTACGCGAGAGGACACGAGACCCTTCCGAAGGCCACATCGCCGTAGGAGTGTAAGAAGGCACGTGCCGCGAGGCACAGGACAAAAGGGTACCCTTGAGCTGGCAGGGTCGACCTACTAATCATGGCCGACTGTTTGCCGGTTGACTGTAGGAAGCGGCGGCGGCGGCGGAGGAGGAGAAGGAGGAGAAGGACAACATGCCTCGTACGCTCATCCGACCGCGTCAGATGAGATCCGCGATGTCCATGGGCATCTCCTGCCGCCGGCCGCAGGTGCGAAGAGAGGAGGGGAGGGGAGGCGAGGAGAGCGGGGGGTGGTGGCGGGGAGTGGGCAGGGAGCCCAGACCCCATGCCGTCGTGATTTTTTCACAGCGTCGACCCCCAGAAATCTGGACCCCTTCCCCAAGACCGTTTTTTTCGTCCCGAGTCGCTTCTTGACGGTCCTGAGGCCCGTGAAAGGCCCCCAGGCCGAAGATGACGAAAAAAACCTCCCGCCGCGATTTGTTTCGCAGCAGCGCAAGGAGGTCTGGGGAGGGAGGGGAGCAGGGGGATGGGTGGACGGGGAGACGGAGCGCCCGAGGGGGCACGCAGGGAGGGCGCCGACCTGGCGCGGCTGCACTTTTGGTAGGTGGGTCAGGTCCTCCTTGGAGGCGCGCGTCCGACCAGAATATATAGCGTGCCCATCTTGTAGTGTATCGCTTCCCGAGCGGGGAGGCCAGAAAGCGCCCGCCACGACGCATGTACTAAAGATTTCTCGGTGCGCGCGTCGCCCCCGGAGGGGCGACGCACGTATAGTACAAGTATGTTTGGGCCCGGCCGCCTCTGGCGGTGTGCGCTGCGAGCAGGAGCGCAGCAGAGCGGCATTGACAGTGTCGCCCCGCACAGGAGACAAGTGTGCTCCCGTCGGGACAGCCCTGGGCTTCAGTCGGGCCTGTCCCTCTATTCAGAAATAGTCGAAAAATAGTATGGGGATTTTTTTTTGTAATATGTTGTTTGTTATTGTGAGGTATTGTTTTAGTATCTTAAGTCTGTCGCCCAAAATCCGCCTGTAGGTGGACACGCCCGACCTAACCCTGAGCCGAGAATCTGCGCGCACGCCTTCCCGACCCAGCCGGGCGGCGGAGGTCCGCATGCGGCGATCCCGAATCTAGGGGGACGAAGGACGACATAAACATAAAAACTCGGAGGTCCGCGCGAATCCAAGAGATCCAGGGTGCGGTGCCAAAGCTGGACCTGGCGAGGTTATCTACTCCGAGTTTCTTAATGAGCGCCAGGGGGGCCACCCCCGCCGACAGCCCCACATCGCCCCCCTTCGCGGGCAGCCACCGCGCGGCGAAGGCGCTCCGACCTCCGTCGCGGCGCGACGACGAGGCGAGGTGACCTCCGTCGGGGGGGTACCCCCCCACGCTTATTAAGAAACCCAGACTGTCGTAGATAGCATCGCCAGGTCCACGATTGGCACCACATCCCTCTATGCCACACCCCTTTCTAACCTTGAGAGCTCTGTGGGTGGGCGTGGCAGTCCAACCTTCAGAGCTCTTTGGGGTTTTACCACACTTGTTTTTTATCACACTTGGTTTTTGATCACACTCAGGTTTCATCACAAGTGTGTTTTATCACAATTGTGTTTGTGTTGATCACACTTGTTTTTGATCACAATGATGTTTTATCACCGAAGTTTTGTCACACTTGTGCTTTCTCAACTTTGCCCAGCGTGTGCTGGCAGCGTATGATGCGCGCGTGCTGGGCGGTTGGCGTGCGGTGGCGCGAGCTCGATCTGTGAGGCGGCAGCCTCAATCTGCGTGTGGTAATAGCGCTCGATGTCCTTCATCGTCCGGACATCATCTGGCGGGCGCCCCGCGCTGGCACCGGCAGCGGGCGCCATCGGCTTCTGAACGCTCGGTCCACAGGGGTCCTGGACCTCCTAAACTCCGATCCTCCTCCTCCTCCTCCTCCTTCTCCTCCTCTCTTCCCTTGTGGCATCCTCCTCTCCTCCTCCTCCTCCTCCTCCTCTTCCTCCTCCTCCTCCTCCTCCTCTTCCTCCTCCTCTTCCTCCTCCTCCCCTTCCTCCTCCTCCTCGCCCCCTCCCCTGGACATCCAAGCCATCGGCCCCGCAATCATCTGCCCCCAGAGCCCTCTCTGGACGTCCACCTCCTCTGCCTCTCGGGCACCCAAACCATGGTCTGTTTGCTTGCTCTAGGACTCGAGGATCTCCCCCCAACCCCGTCGCTGCCAATCATGACGTGGGCATCTGGGCCTCGGAGCTCGGCGATGACGCACAGTCTCGATCCTGCGGGCGTTCAAGCCGTTCGATTTCCCAAAGACTTCAAACTCAGAGCTTCCAACGTCTGCAGATCCTGATCTCTGCCTTAAAGTGCCCCAAATGTCACCTTGGTGGATGCCAGACAAATGTGCATCGGATCTTCGAGCCTTCGGTCTGCGAGACTTTCACCCCGAGCTGGACTGATTCAAATGTAGAATTGTGGTTGGCCATCGTTGCCGATGTTAGCAAGGTAGAACGTGCCTTTCACAGGCGCTGCGCGTCGCATATAAATCCCCCCCTCGCTGGAACTGGGACCCTCCCGCCCTACCACTCTGGAAGCGAGATCCTCCCACCCTACTCCGGCGAGAACCTCCATCCACGCCCCTGCGCGTCGGTAAACGACGACGACGACGACGGGCGACGACGACAATAACGAAAACCCTGACGACGGCGACACTGAC